CGCGAATCACTCATACAGAGCAAGGCAGAGCACTCTGTGTTCTAGAGAGGGCTCTACCAACTGAGCTACTGAGGCAGCTCAGCTGGCTGGGCCGAATCACTCATACAGAGTAAGGCAGAGCACTCTGTGTTCTAGAGAGGGCTCCACCAACTGAGGCAAGCCACTCTGTACCAGGAGTGTATCCCCATGGTTCATATAAGACGGGAAGACGCCAAGATGGCAGCCGCGAACAAATTCTTCGTAGTCCATCTTGAAGAGGGGGTTTGTGGCAGAGAGGAACTCTGGATGGAAGATTATCTGTAAGAGAGAAGAGATAAACAAAAGAATGAGAATATATATTATTATATTATTTATAATGAGTAAGCAATTGTGGGGCAGATAATCATAATGCACCTTAACCCTCTCCACACACCCAAATTTAACCCTCTTCACACACCAAAACACAACCACACTAAACATATTAACCCCTTTCACACAACACTTTAACCCTCTTCCCACACACCGCACTTAATAACTTTAACCCTCTATGTACACACTGCGTACCTTAACCCTATCCTCCCTGCGATTGAAGAGCTGTATTCTCCTAATGTTGCACAGCACGGGGTCGCAATGATCATCAATAACATTATGGGTACAGATCGGAGGCAATCCCCCTTTCTGAGCAGCAAAGATACACCTACAAAACAATTACCAGAGGTCACTGCTGCTCGTCACCCTCATCATCTCCAATCTCACTAGGAGGTCGCGATGGAGGCTCACTCAGGGGACGAGGATATCGGAACCCCTGGGAATCAATAATGATGTCATCATTAACACAATCAAGATGACATCATCAATAATGTGTCCTGATTGGTGAGGTGTCCTTAGAGAGGAGCTCTATCCAAGACAATTATGAAACCATTACATCACAGTCTTACAGGAATGGAAGAAGTGGGCGTGGCACTTCCGGAGCCACACCTCTTACTGCTGTAGTATATACTATGGATGAGTAGTCTCGAGGGCTTTGCATCTGGCTGTGAGGGGGAGAAGAGAAGCAAACGAGAAAGTTCACTATTATGGAGAAATGTGCATTACATAATGGCTATTAAATTTAGATATGTTACTAAAGATAGAACTAAGCGGTATTTTACTGCCACAATTGAACCCCTCTAATCCAGACACAAAAAAGTGGTGAGATGTCCTATTTCATTACAAAAGGTTTTTGTTTTTGTCCTAATACTATATACCTCGTATCTCAGATTGGTCGTACAGTTCAGGGTTTGTTAGTGGGGAAATGATGTCCACCCACCTCCCTCCTCCTGGACCGACCTCTCAGATCCTCATGTGTGGACCTCCACCCATGATCAAGTTTGCCTGTCTCCCCAACCTAGAGAAACTGGGCTTTAGTGAAGACATGTATGTCCCCTTCTAAGACCAAGGGCTGTTTTCTGCATTATGTATACATTTTGGGCTATAAACTGGTGTATAATACATGCAGGAGCGCTCTTGCGCATGCGTGTCGAAGACTACTTACACGTCATGATGACGTGTGACCAGAGAAAGCGCGTATTAAATAGAATACTGAGTTCCTTGTGGGCTCATGGCATGGCAGCTCGCGCTAGAGCCGCCCGCGTAAAGAGCCGAATCCGTGGCGGATACGACTGTGAGTTCGTTACGCCACCGCCCGATGTTTTTCAGATCGAGTGTCCGATTTGCCTGCAAATCCCGAAAGAACCGTGCCTCATCAGTTGTCCCTGCGGAAAGGAGTTTTGCCGCGAATGCATCGAGCGAATAAAGGAAGACAACAAGCCGTGTCCCCTGTGTAACCTGTCTGATTTTACTTTCTTACGTCACCACGGGATCAGAAAGATATCTGAAGGCACAAGAGGTGTCGTGCTCACACAAGAAGGACGGCTGTAAATGGACGGGGAAACTTGGAGAATACGAACAGCACCTGAATAAAGATCCATCTCCTGAGAACCAGCTGACTGGGTGTCAGTTTGTGGAGATAGAGTGTGAGCATGGGTGTGGGGAGTGGTTCCAGCGTCGCCACATCGCTTCCCACCAAAAGGGGGTGTGTCCCAAGCGACCTTACTCCTGTGAACACTGCCACGAATATGAATCCACTTTTGAAGATGTTACTAAAAATCACTATACCCAGTGTGTCAAGTATCCTGTTGCCTGCCCTAACAAATGTCGAGACACTCCCTTTGAAAGACAGAATGTGAATAACCACGTGAAAGACGAATGTCCCCTCACGGAAAGTCGACTGCCCACTCCACTACGCCGGTTGTGAGGTGAGACTTCCTCGCAAAGACATGCCTGAGCACATGACAGACACTGTCACACATCTGACACTGCTGGCTACCGTTACCCAGAGCCTCCTCACCATTGTGGTTGGCTTATGGATCAATGGGTTCACTGCGAATAGCAAAAGCGCTATTATAATTGTTCAACTTTCCATTAATTCTTACAAAAATACCACACTCAGTTAAAACTCTACTCCATGATGTGATAATAAAGCACAGGGAAGTAAGTGTCACATGATGGTCTCATGACATGATGTAATGGTCACATGACATGATGTAATGGTCACATGACCAGAGGTCACTGCTGCTCGTCATCCTCATCATCTCCAATTTCACTAGGAGGTCGCGACGGAGGCTCACTCAGGGGACGAGGATATCGGAACCCCTGGGAATTAATAATGATGTCGTCATTACGTCATCATTAACACGTGTCCTGATAGGTGAGGTGTCCTTATTTCAGGAGTGTCCTTAGAGAGGGCTCTCTATCCAAGGCAATTATGAAACCATTACATCATAGTCTTACAGGAGTGGAAGAAGTGGGCGTGGCACTTCAGGAGCCACGCCTCTTACTACTGTGGATGAGTGGTCTCAAGGGCTCTGCGTCTGGCTGTGCGATAGTATATACTGAGGGAGGGAGGGAGGGAAGGAGGGAGGGAGGGGAGAGAGAGAGAAGCAAACGAGAAAGTTCACTATTATACATAGAAACGAGAAATGCGACATTACATAATGGCTATTAAATTTAGATATGTTACTAAAGATAGAACTAAGCGATAGGGCCTAGTGTGCAAGATTGCAACAGTTTATAAATTTAGACCTTTTATACTTTACGAAATTTTTACTCACCGAAGATATATACGTCTACTGGCACTGACGGTCTGAATCCAATTTGGGTTGACAACCAAACCACTTAAAATCTGCGTGACGTTCCCTCCCTCCGTCTTGTGAATACTAAAAATACTGCCACAGTCCCTTTAACAATTGAACCCCTCTAATCCACACACAATAAAGTGGTGAGATGTCCTTATTTCATTACAAAAAATGTATGTTTTTATCAAATACCTCTCTCTCGGCTCCAACGTTCAATCAATTGCCTCACTTTACCATTTCCTCCCTCCCTCTCTTCTCCTCTCTCCTTCTTCCTGATACTATCTCCATTATCTCAGATTGGTCGTACAGTTCAGGGTTTGTAAGTGGGGAAATGATGTCCACCCACCTCCCTCCTCCTGGACCGACCTCTCAGATCCTCATGTGTGGACCTCCACCCATGATCAAGTTTGCCTGTCTCCCCAACCTAGAGAAACTGGGCTTTAGTGAAGACATGTATGTCCCCTTCTAAGACAAAGGGCTCTTTTCTGCAAAATTTTGGGCTATAATAGTAATGCGCTCTTGCGCATGCGTGGTTATTGGTCGACGACTACTTTTACGTTATGACGACGTTGACCAGAGAAAGTGCGCGTTAAATAGAACACTGTGGCCCTTGTGGGCTCATGGCGCTCGCGCTAGAGCCGCCCGCGTAAAGAGCCGAATCCGTGGCGGATACGACTGCGAGTTCGTTACGCCACCGCCCGATGTGTTTCAGATCGAGTGTCCGATTTGCCTGCAAATCCCGAAGGAGCCGTGCCTCATCAGTTGTCCCTGCGGAAAGGAGTTTTGCCGCGAATGCATCGAGCGAATAAAGGAAGACGGCAAGCCGTGTCCGCTGTGTAACCTGTCTGATTTTACGTTCTTACGTCACCACGGGTCAGAAAGATATCTGAAGGCACAAGAGGTGTGGTGCTCACACAAGAAGGACGGCTGTAAATGGACGGGGAAACTTGGAGAATACGAACGTCACCTGAATCGAAATCCATCTCCAGAGAACCAGCTGACTGGGTGTCAGTTTGTGCCAATAGAGTGTGAGCATGGGTGTGGGGAGTGGTTCCAGCGTCACCACATTGCTTCCCACCAAAAGGGGGCGTGTCCCAAGCGACCTTACTCCTGTGAACACTGCCACGAATATGAATCCACTTTTGAAGATGTTACAAAAAATCACTATCCTCAGTGTGTCAAGTATCCTGTTACCTGCCCTAACAAATGTCGAGACGCTCCCTTTGAAAGACAAAATGTGAATAACCACGTGAAAGACGAATGTCCCCTCACAGAAGTCGACTGCCCACTCCACTATGCCGGTTGTGAGGTGAGACTTCCTCGCAAAGACATGCCTGAGCACATGACAGACACTGTCACACATCTGACACTGCTGGCTACCGTTACACAGAGCCTCCTGAAAGAGAATCAGGAACTGCGAAAACAGAATGAGTTGCTGAAAGACAAACAGAGAGCTACAGAGAAAGAAGTTGAAATTCTCAGAGAAAAGCTCATGGTGGGAGTATTCCCTGTTGATTTCCATGTGAACTTTGACAAGAACAAGGAAATGATTTGTTTACCTTCCTTTTACACCCACTCATCTGGCTACCAAATGCGCATTCAATTTTATCTGAATGTAGGAACTCATATATCATTAGTCGCACAACTAATGCGAGGTCCATACGACGACCACCTGAAATGGCCGTTCAGAGGAGAGATAACGGTCCAGATAGTCAACCAGGCTGGAGACCACAGCCACGTCGAGTAGACCATCCAATATGACAATGTAACACCAGATACCTGTGCTGGTAGAGTGATTGACAAGGAGAGTGCTGTGGGACAGGGGTTTTATGATTTCCTCGCTCACAAGAAACTGGAGTACAATGCTGCAAAGAAAACCCAATACTTGAAAGACGGCATCATCATAGTCAGAGTTGTTAAAGTTATAATCACCCAATGAGTTATTAATTTTAGGCTTTTCTCTGCATAGATGACTATAATTGCACATATATGCTGTATGTTTATATATTGTGGTTGGCTTATGGATCAATGGGTGCACTGCGAAATAGCAAAAGCGCTATTATTATTGTTCAACTTTCCATTAATTCTTACAAAAATACCACACTCAGTTAAAACTCTTTACTGCATGATGTGATAATAAAGCACAGGGAAGTAAGAGTCACATGATGGTCACATGACATGATGTAATGGTCACATGACCAGAGGTCACTGCTGCTCGTCATCCTCATCATCTCCAATCTCACTAGGAGGTCGCGACGGAGGCTCACTCAGGGGACGAGGATATCGGAACCCCTGGGAATTAATAATGATGTCATCATTACATCATCGTTAACACAATCAAGATGACATCATCAGCAATGTGTCCTGATTGGTGGGGTGTCCTTATTTCAGGAGTGTCCTTAGAGAAGAGCTCTATCCAAGGCAATTATAAAACCATTACATCATAGTCTTACAGGAGTGGAAGATGTGGGCGTGGCACTTCCGGAGCCACGCCTCTTACTGCTGTAGTACTCTGGATGAGTGGTCTCCAGGGCACGGCGTCTGGCTGTGCGATAGTACTGAGGAAGAGAGGAAGGGGGAGAGGGGGAGAAGAGAAAATGAACAGAAAACGAGAAACTTTACTATTCGAGTGTTAAATCTCAGAGCCTACATTTACTGCACATATTTCATTGGTTGTGTAGTGAGCACAATGAGGTGGTAACTGGCTTTGTATTATAAACAAGCAGGTGGACTTGCTTCAGTTGGCATGTTATAAATATTTTATTAGACGAGAGAAGCAGGAGAAGAAACGCAGACCTGTCCCAGAGTTTGCCAGTCGAGTAGGTCACTGAGTCTCTCAGTTCTGTTCCTCTGAATGATCCTCTGACGTCGTGTCTGGCTACAGAACTCAAACATGTACTGGAGATGGGGGGAGGGAGGGGAGGAAGTGGGGGAGAAAGGGAGAGAGAGAGAGCAGGAACGGAGATTGGGAAAAAGGGGGAAAAAACCGTGCAGTCTTTCATTTCATTTTCATATATATAATAGTTGGTTAGGTGGTTGGAAGGGGGAGAATGCATTACCTAATGTGCTACGCGTAAAGGGTTAATTAAAAATTGGATTCCATGCTCCAATTATAGTCAAAGTAATAGGGATGGTTGGTTTGTCTTTTCGTACTCCCACGTGCCCACAAAAAATGCAAAATCGTTAAAACCCTTATTGACGGAATTTGACCACACCCATCCACAATCCAACGTACTAGTTGAGGGCATTCAAGTAAGGGTGGATTCCATACTCCAACTATAGTCAAAGTAATAGGGACGGTTGGTTTGTCTTCTCTTACTATTACGTTCCCACAAAAAATGCAAAACTGTTAACACCCCTTATTGGCGCAATTTTACCGCACCCTGAATGCACCATCTACAATCCAGCTACAATCCTTCTCTCAATTATTCTCTTACGTTTGCCAGCTGTTGGATGGACTCGTCTGCACTCTTGAACCGTCGGTCCACGATGTATATGCCGTATGTGGCGGGATCGGCGACGTGCTGTGCAATGAAACAGCCGAACCCGGAGAGATTTGTGGTGACAGACGGTATACCCATCACGGTACACTCCGCTGTGGGTGAGAGAGAGAGAGAGAGAGAGAGAGAAATTGGGTTTTGTTTCATATGAAAGGGGCTTTGTAATAGTGTTCTAGACAGGGCTCTACTAACTGAGCTACTGAGGCAGCTCGGCTGGCTGAGCTGAATCACTCATACAGAGCAAGGCAGAGCACTCTGTGTTCTAGAGAGGGCTCCACCAGCTGAGCTACTGAGGCAGCTCAGCTGGCTGGGCTGAATCACTCATACAGAGCAAGGCAGAGCACTCTGTGTTCTAGAGAGGGCTCCACCAGCTGAGCTACTGAGGCAGCTCAGCTGGCTGGGCTGAATCACTCATACAGAGCAAGGCAGAGCACTCTGTGTTCTAGAGAGGGCTCCACCAGCTGAGCTACTGAGGCAGCTCAGCTGGCTGGGCTGAATCACTCATACAGAGCAAGGCAGAGCACTCTGTGTTCTAGAGAGGGCTCTACCAACTGAGCTACTGAGGCAGCTCAGCTGGCTGGGCTGAATCACTCATACGGAGCAAGGCAGAGCACTCTGTGTTCTAGAGAGGGCTCTACCAACTGAGCTACTGAGGCAGCTCAGCTGGCTGGGCCGAATCACTCATACAGAGCAAGGCAGAGCACTCTGTGTTCTAGAGAGGGCTCTACCAACTGAGGCAGCTCAGCTGGCTGGGCTGAATCACTCATACAGAGCAAGACAGAGCACTCTGTGTTCTAGAGAGGGCTCTACCAACTGAGCTACTGAGGCAGCTCAGCTGGCTGGGCCAAATCACTCATACAGAGCAAGGCAGAGCACTCTGTGTTCTAGAGAGGGCTCCACCAACTGAGGCAAGCCACACTGTACCGGGAGTGTATCCCCACGGTTCATAGTAAGACGGGAAGACGCCAAGATGACAGCCGCGAACAAATTCTTCGTAGTCCATCTTGAAGAGGGGATTTGTGGCAGAGAGAAACTCTGGATGGAAGATTATCTGTAAGAGAGAAGAGAGAAAACAGAATGAAAAGAATGAGTTATTACCCTCGGCACGCGTGCGCAGCAAGGGTACAGTAGTTGGGTGTGTCTGTCTGTCTGTCTGTCTGTCTGTCGCTACATCACTTTCCACCAAAAGAGGGTGTGTCCCAAGCGACCGTACTCCTGTGAACACTGCCACGAATATTATGAATCCAGTTTTGAAGATGTTACTAAAAATCACTATCCTCAGTGTGTCAAGTATCCAGTTACCTGCCCTAACAAATGTCGAGACGCTCCCTTTGAAAGACAAAATGTGAATAACCACGTGAAAGACGAATGTCCCCTCACGGAAATCGACTGCCCACTCCACTACGCCGGTTGTGAGGTGAGACTTCCTCGCAAAGACATGCCTGAGCACATGACAGACACTGTCACACATCTGACACTGCTGGCTACCGTTACACAGAGCCTCCTGAAAGAGAATCAGGAACTGCGACAGACAACTGAGGACCTCAAGAAAGAGAATCAGGAACTGCGACAGACAACTGAGGTCCTCAAGAAAGAGAATCAGGAACTGCGACAGACACTGAGGACCTCAGAAAGAGAATCAGGAACTGCGACAGACAACTGAGGACCTCAAGAAAGAGAATCAGGAACTGCGACAGACAACTGAGGACCCTCAAGAAAGAGAATCAGGAACTGCGACAGACAACTGAGGACCTCAAGAAAGAGAATCAGGAACTGCGACAGACCACTGAGGACCTCAAAACAGATAATAGGGAACTAAGAATGAGTTTTGAAGATCTCAAGAAGGAGAACCATGAACAGCAAAAGTTGATCCAAGACAAGCAGGAAATTACTGAGAGAAAAGTTGAAACTCTTGATAAAAAAATGAAGCTAACCTTGGGAGATTTTCCAATTGATTTCCCTGTGAATTATGTAAAAGAAAGACAACATTTGCCTTCCTTCAACACTCATTCACATGGATACAAAATGGGAATTGAGGTTGAAACAAATGGTTTTTCATCTGGAAAGGGAACTCATGTGTCAATTTACACGTACCTGATGCGAGGTGAATACGACGACCACACTGAAATGGCCGTTCAGAGGAGAGATAACGGTCCCAGATAGTCAACCAGGCTGGAGACCACAGCCACGTCGAAAGGACCATCCACTACAATGATAAGATGCCAGTATACCAGTGCCAGTAGAGTGACTGACAAGAGGAAATCTAAGGGCTGGGGCAAAAATAAGTTCCTAGCTCACACTGATCTGGAGTACAATGCTGCAAGAAACACCAATACCTGAAAGACGGCATCATCATAGTTAGGGTTGTTAAGGTTGTAATCACTCAATGATATTTTTTGGTACTAACTCTAGGAATATTTATTTTTTGCACAGACAACTCTAAAATTACACATAATTATATACTATTATGCTGTATGTCTATAGCACCAAAATTTGGTTGGAATTAAATGGATCCATATATGGGTGTACTGCGAACATTATGTGAGCGAACACTATTTAACATTACATTACAAAACATACCACACTCAGTTTAAAAACTCTTTACTGCATGATGTGATAATAAAGCACAGGGAAGTAAGAGTCACATGATGGTCACATGACATGATGTAATGGTCACATGACCAAGGTCACTGCTGCTCGTCATCCTCATCATCTCCAATCTCACTAGGAGGTCGGCGGATCGAGGGGGCTCACTTACATGGAGGCGAGGATATCTGATCAGGAACCCCTGGGTGAATCAATGAATGATCGGCTCATCATATACTTCATCATTGAACACAACCAAACAAGCTTCCATCCAATAACAGTGGTCCTGATTGGGTGATCCTTAGAGAGGAGCTCTATCGCACTGGCAATTATGAAAATCTTAAGTACATCATTAGTCTTAACAGGAGTGGAATAACGTGGGCGTGGCACTATCCGGAGCCACAGCGCTTCTTATCTACTAGTAGTACTCTGGTGGTCTGGACTCAACGCATTATCAACGAAGAAAGAGAAACTGGCAGGGGTTGATAAAAAAATCGAGAAGGCTTCATGCGTCTGGATGTGAGGAGATCGAGGGGGAGAAGATAGAAAACGAGAAAGTCACTATTATAACAAATAATGATTACTAGAAGTATAGAACTAAGCGATAGGGCAAGATCGCACGTAACGAGTTTCTGATATTTAACCTTATATTTTATACTGGCAATTATCTGAACCCCATGCTATCCACATGAGCACATAAGTAGTGAGTATGTGCCCCCCACCCTTATTTCATTACGAAAATGATGTGTTTATCAATAACCTCTCTCCTCTCTCTGCAGTGCCACGTTCAATCTTTACCTCACTTTAACCTTTTCCGATGCACCTCCCTCTCTGCCCCTCTCTGCCTTCTCCTAATACATCTCATCTCCGTTATCTCAGTATGGTCGTACCTTTCATCAGGTTTGTTAGTGGGGAAATTGATAGTCTCACCCACCTGCCCTCCTCCTGGACCCCCCTCTCAATCCTCATGTGTGGACCTCCACCTGTCAAGATTTGCCTGTCTCCCCAACCTATAAAACTGGTGGCTTTAGTTGAGGACATTATGTCCCCTTCTAAGACAAAGGCTACTTTTCTGCAAAATTTTAGGCTATATAGTAACTAGCGCTCATTGCTCATAGGTGGTTATATGGTCGACGACTACTTTTTATCGTTACGTCATGATGACATTGACCAGAGAAGTGCGCGTTAAATAGAACACTGTGGCCCTTGTGGGCTCATGTGCCCCTCGTAAGAGCGCGAATCCGTGGCGTATCACGATCTGCGAGTTCGTTACGGGCCTATCCTGTCGCCGAATGTGATTCAGATCGCGTGTCCCGATTTGCCTGCAATCCGAAGGAGCGCGTGCCTCATCAGTTGTCTCCTGTGGATAAGGAGTTTTGTGGCCGCGAAAAATTGGCACATCCCGGATCGAATAACGGAAGACGGCAAGCCGTGTCCGCTGTGTATACCTGTCTGATTTTACGTTCTTCTACGTCACCAACGGGTTCAGAAGAGATAATCTGAAGGCAGCAATAGGTCTGTGTGTCTTCAAATCACAAGAAGGACGGTTGTAAATCGGAGGGGGAAACTTGGAGATATACGAACGGCACCTGATGAGATTCCGCCTTAGAGAACAGCTGACTGGGTGATCAGTTTGTGGAGATAGAGTGTGTGTGCATGGGTGTGGTGGTGGTTCTCAACCAGCGTCGCCACATAGTCGCTTCCCACCAAAAGGGGGCGATGTCCTCAGCGACCTTCCTGCCTGTGAATACTGCAACGAACATGATGCCAATTTTGAGATGATTACAAAAAATCACTATCCTCAGTGTGTCTAAGTATCCTGTTGCCGGCCCGAACAAATGTCGAGTACGCTCCCTATTGAAAGACAAAATGTGATAACGCACCGTGAAAGACGAATGTCCCATCACGGAAATCGACTGCCCACGATAATGGCAGAACAGTCCACTACTCTGGTATGTGAGGTGATACTAAAGCCTCGCAAAGACATTCCTGCGCACCTGACAGACACTGTCCCACATCTGACACTTGCTGGATACCAGGTTACACAGAGCCTCCTGAAAGATAATCATGAACTGCGACAGACTACTGAGGACCTCAGAAAGAGATCATGAACTCGCGAAAACAGAATGTAGATTCCCAAGAGTGAAAACAAAAGCTACAGAGAACGAGTTAAATTCTCAGAGAAGAAACACACCAAATGAAGCTCATGGTGGGAGGATCCCTTTGATTGACTCGTGAACTTGACCAACGACAAGTAAGGAAACATTCATTTACCTTCCTTTTACAAACCCACTCATCTGTCTACCAAATGCGCATTCAATTTCATCCGATTGGAAATGTGAGATGTACAGGAACGCATGTATCAATATTCACCCGCTAATGCCGAGGATCCATACGGCGCCCACCTGAAATTGCCGTTCAGCAGGAAGATACGGTCTCAGATAGTCAACCAGGCTGGAGACCACACCACGTCGAGTGCACCATCCCATACTATGATGAGACCCCAGATATCTGTGCTGGTAGAGTGCTGACAGGAGAGTGCTACAGGACTGGGGTTAATTTCCTAGCTCACAAGAAACTGGAGTACAATGCTGCAAGAAAACCCAATACTTGAAAGACGGCATCATCATAGTCAAGTTGTTAAGTTTAATCACCAACAAGAGTTGTTTAATTTTTCGCTTTTCTCTGCATTGTTTGAGGACTATATACATGTAGTATATAATTTGCACATTTATGCTGTATTGTTTATTATAATTATAGCACCATTGTGGTTGACTTATTAATTATGGTCAAATGGTGCAGCTGCGAAATAAGCAAAAGTGCTATTTGATTGTTCAACTTTCCTTTCCCTTAAATTCTTCAAAAATACCACACTCAGTTAAAAACTCTTTACTGCATGATTTGATAAAAAAAGCGCAGGAAGTAAGATTCACATGATGTCAAAAAATTGGGTCACATACCGAGGTCACTGCTGCTCTTCTCCTCATCATCTCCACTCTCACTAGAGGTCGTGACGGAGGCTCCGCATGGGGCGAGGATATCGAACCCCCTGGTAATTAATAATGATGTTCAGCAAATTACATCATTGTTACATAATCAAGATACATCATCAACAATGTGTCCCTGATTGGTGAGGTTTCCTCATTTCAGGAGTGTCCTTAGAAGGCGCTCTATTGAAGGCAATTATAAAACCATTACATCATAGTTCTTACAGGATGGAAGAGTGGGCGTGGCACTTCCGGAGCCACGCCTCTTACTGCGTAGTACTCTGGGTGAGTGGTTTCCAGGGCTCTGCGTCTGGCTGTACGATAGTACTGCGGGAGGGAGGGGGAAGGGGGGAGGAAGGAAGGGGGAGAGGGTGAGAAGAGAAAATGACAACAAACGATAAATGTTATTATTGCGAGTGTTCAATCTCAGAGCCTACATTTACTGCTTACTGCACACTTTTATTGGTTGCGAGCACAAGCGTAACTTGCGTTGTATTTAACCAAGGAGCAGGTGACTTGTCTTCAGTTGGCATGTTTCTGTTAGACGAGAAACAGACCTGTCCCAGATTTTGCCAGTCGAGTATGTCGCTGAGTCGCTCAGTTCTGTTCCTCTGAATTATCCTCGACGTCGTGCTGACTACACGAACTCAAACATTACTGGAAAGAGGGGGGGGGGAGAGGGGATGAGGGGAGGAGAAAGGAGGAGAGAGGCAGGATAACGGAGATTGGGTAAAAAGGGTGAAACAACCGTGCAGTCTTTCATTTCATTTTCATATATATACTAGTTGGTTAGTTGGTTGGAAGGGGAAAATGCATTCCCTAATGTGCTCCGGCTAAAGGTTAATTTCAAATTGGGTTTCCTCCATGTCCAATTATAGTCAAAGTAATAGGGATGGTTGGTTGTCTTTTCGTTACTCCCCACGTGCACACAAAAAAATGCAAATCGTTAAAACAAAACCCTTATTGGTGGAATTTGACACCCCCATCCACAATCCAACATAGTTGAGGGCATCTCCAGTAAGGGTGGATTACATACTCCAACTATAGGCAAAGTCAGTAATAGTGGATGGTTAGTTGTCTTCTGCTGTACTATACGTTTCCCACACAAAACTGCAAACGCGTAAGCACCCCTTTACCTTTTTGTGGCGCTTAATATTTTATCCTGTACCAAACTGATTTATGCACCATCTACGAATCAGCTATACAATATTTCTCTCAAACAAGCATTCTCTTACGTTTGCTATGCTGTTGTAGTAATGGATCTACAGTCTGCGCTCTATGACCCGCGGTCCACGATGTATATGCGCGTACGATGGCGGATCGGCGACTGCTGTGCAATGAAACAGCCGACCCAGAGAGATTGGTGGTGACAGACGGTATATAACCATCACTGGTACACTCTGTCTGTGTGATTTGATAGAGAGAGAGTAAATGTGAGACAAATTGATTTCTGTTTCATATGAAAGGGGCTTTGCATAGTGGTCTAGTGAGGCGCTCTACAAACTGAGCTACCAACGAGGTCCGCTC